CAGTGGATAGGCAGTGAATCATGGGTAACCAACCCAGAATTAACGAGGTTCAGTTTCTGTGCTGGGGCCATTGGATTTGCGATTCCGAAGTCTAGAATCCCAGGTCTCAGAGACTTCCTGCTGAATCTGTCCCCCTCACAAGTGGCTTCTTCTCAAATGCTTACTGAGTTCTGGGAGGATGCATTTAACTGCACACTGACCAAAAGTAAGACATTTTTCTTGGTTTAAATTATCTGATCAACTGCTGATGTCGGATGTAGCTTCATTGGTTGACCTATTTTAATTGAAAAGTTATTAATGGTAACCAAGTGTGAGTAGATAATACAGGTGTAACTCGAAAAATTTGAATATCATGCAAAAGTTCATCTATTTCAGTAATTCAACTTAAAAGGTGAACGTAATATAAGATTTAGACTTACTACATGCAAAGTGAGAAATTTCAAACCTTTATTTGTTTTAAGTTTGATTATTATGACTTACATCTTATGAAAACCCGAAATTCAAAAGCTCAGAAAATTAGGATATTGTGACATGGTTCAATATTATAGGCTCAAAGTGTTAATGTCTAATCAGCTAATTAATTCAAAACACCTGCAAAGAGTTCCTGAGACTTTATCTCTCAGTCTGGTTCAGTTGGAATCCCATTCATGGGGAAGACTGCTGACCTGACAGTTGTGCAGAAAATCATCATCGACACCATTCATAAGGAGGGGAAAGCCTCAAAAAGTCATTACAAAAGAACTTGGATGTTTCCAAAGAGCTGTATCAAAACACATTAATAAAAAGTTATGTGTAAGGGAAAAGCGTGCAAGAAAATGGTGCACAAACAGCAGGGATGACCACAGCCTGGAGAGGATTGTCAGGAAAAAGTCCATTCAAAAGTGTTAGTTAGTTAGAGTTAGTGCCTCAAGAGCCACCATACAAAGACAGATCCTGGACATGGGCTTTGTATGTCGTATGCCTCTTGTCAAGCTGCTCCTGAACAACAGATGTCAGAAGCGTCTTACCTGGGTTAAAGAAAAAAAGAACTGGTCTGTTGCTCAGTGGTCCCTCTTTTCTGAAGAGAGGAAATTTTTCATCTGAGGTTGTGCTGAGGTTTTTATCTTTACACTGTTCCTGCAGCACGGCCTCAAGGCTGGTCCAAACCTCTTCTCGCTCTCCTCCTTGCAAGACACTTTAAATCCTTAAAGTGTGGCCAAGCACAGTACCTATCTTGGGCCACAGATGGTTGAGGGTAGCTACACGTTGTGAAGGT